TCCCGATCCCCTGTGTCACTTTTTCGTATTCCCTTGCATAGTGTAGCTATCTAGTAATTATTTTTCTAAATTTTTATTTTGTTTCAACAATAAAATTATTGACATCAGAAAAAATATTAGAGAGGACATAAGGAGTTGTCATTAGTTAAGTGTGGCCCCATTGCTGTGGGACATATGTATACATTAAAAGTTGTAGTCGTGGATTCAGCAAAGAAGAAGGCTGCTACATGAAAATTGTATCAAACATACAGTTATTTTCAAAAGAAAATGATTTTCTGACCTAATTTTGTATAAATACTAAGAGAATTTATGACACAGAGAGCATCAATAACAGAAAATCTACACAAATAGAAATGAGACTACAACTAAAAATATTAATTTGTTCTTGCAGAGACTTGTTGCATGCATTCTAAAATATTTTAACTTTTAGTATGATATTCTAAAGTATATGAAAATTCTATGAAGCTAAAAGAATAGAATTAGTATATGTTCATGCATATTTTTCTGAATTTAGTGTGAGATTTAGATAATTCACTTTTCTGTGCAGGCTTCTTCTGAAAACTTTCTTGTAAAAGACAATGCTTGCACCACTGTGATTGCAAAACTGGGTAAAGGAAGAACTGACAAGCAAGTTAGAGAATGTACAATCTGTCCAACTCACATTAAGGGCAGGGAAGCATCTGAAGCTCTCTACTAGCTTGGATGTTTTTTCTAATCTAGGACATATCAGGACAAAGGATCACAATGATTAATGCTAATTGATTCTTTAGGTACTTAAGACATCTCTTTAGTAATCTGTTATAATTAACATATTTATCAAATGCACTTTAGGCAAACAATAATAGTAGCAGTTGCAAACACTAAACATAGTGAAAATATGGACAACAGCACTATACATATTTTAGTTGATAAATATAGTATGCTGTATACTATTTTTAGTGTAACTATATACATGTAGCTATTTAATATAAAGGTTGATTTAGTTTAAATTGAATAAAAAATTAAAATACTGTGCCTCATTTGAACAGCACTGCAAGGGCTCAGCAGTCACATATGCTAGAGACATCTATATTGTACAACAGAGAGAACATTTCTATCTTTCCAGTGGCTTTTCTTGAATGACACTGGCTTAGGTCAATGTTGAAATAGTTTTTCAAATATAAAAAATTTTGTTATAGCTGTGAGTCTAAAAAGTACTAAAGGGTTTTATCATGTGTGTATTTTGACTAGAGACAGCCAATTTTCACAGAATAATGATGGATTCTAAAGAAGACAAAGTATATCTATTTGGAAGAAAACTATAAGGTATCCATAATGAAGTGCCATTTAATAACACTTTCCTGCCATATAAATGTTACATAGAATTCAAATAGAGCCACATCCTCTTTGCCTGTTTCATTCTTTTATGTTTAGATGGAACCTTGAAAACACTACAATTATTTGTTTTCTGTTTTCATCTTCTTGAACTTCAATCATTTCCTGATGTTTATCACACCATAAAGCAGAGTCAAGTTTGCCTCTAAATAACAATCACTTTGTGCTTCCCACGTAAGAGATTTCTGCAGTTAAGGGGGAAAAAAACAAAGTATACTAAAACTACTTATTCAGAGTGATGTCTCCTACAGTTCACAGTATCAAATTTCATTCTTATAAATAAAATTTGGAGGAAATTTACATAGAAATATAAGAGAACCAAGGGATTTTTCTTCGTCAAAAGTCTTCTTAAACAGAAAAGAAAGAAAGAAAAGAGAAAAGAAAAAGAAGAAAAACTTCAGCTATGCACTTTACTGACAAGTCAATACCAGGCTTGTGATTCTTAACATGATTTTGTTTTTCTCTGTGTCAGCTTCACAGTGTTTTGAATCTCATTCCTAATGTATCTAGGGAACGACTGTGGGGTGCTAACATGTAAGACAAAGAAAATGAGGGCAGATGCTCTTCAACACCAGCGGAAAGACATCAGTTCTTCCAGCCACATTCTGAAGTCTCAGTGAAATGAACTCCCTGACCCATCTTGAATTAGAGAACTATATAACCATGGACCACTTAGAGTATGTCTAAAACAAATAATGCCTATCCTAAAGTAGCTTCTTAAAGATTCACACTGACACGTGCCAGTAAACACTCTGGCCGAAGTAAATGCTCTGGAAAACTTTTTTCCCTTGAATATGGAAACAATAGAAATGAACTTTCTAATTTTTTGATGTTTAAAAATATTTGACTACTTAGATATGCTTCCAGAAATTTTATAAATAACTTCCTGAACTGTTCAAAATATTTGTAGGAAGATTTGTTTCTAAGAAATCATCACAGGAAGTGGGAGTAAGTATTTCAAATCAATATAATAAAACTTTGAGTCAATAAAAGAAATACCAGTCTATAAACAGCAGATCCATTTTTTCTTACCAGTTCCCTCTCCTTTTGTTTCTTAATTTTTATTTTACATGAAAGTAAATAATCAAAGGGAAAGTATGTCCAATTAGTCAATGACAGCAGTTGCAATGGTGTAAACCTCAGAGCAACAAAAGTTAAAGGATGACGAATCTATAAAACTGAAAGTATAACAAAATTCTCAAATTTCCAGAAAATGTAATTTTTTATGAAACAAATAAAGGAAGAATAGAGGACCAAGGTAGTCTTGTAAAAATATTGGTATTTGTAAATAATTGTAATGATTGAACTAAGGGTTCAAATGTGAATTCTGTAATACATATAATATATTGTCAAAATCATATTGTATTTTCAGAAAATAGAAAATAAAATCATTCTTTCTAAAATATTTCATGAAGATAGAAAGATTTTAATACAACTTTGAACAAAGGCCTTATAAAAAAGCAAACGTTAAATGAATGTCATTTATAAACATAGTTAAGAAATGCTAAACATACATGCTATGTCATTATAGATATATATGTTCAGATTTGTGTTTATTTATTATGATTTGTTTATGAAGTATTACCTTTTGAAGGCAAATAGTGTTCAGAAGTGGGGAATCTGTAGGCATAGTACCCTTAGGAGGCCAGTTCTCATTTGAACTCAGAAATAACTTTGGCAAGTCATTGGACTATGAATCATTTGTTCTCAACAGTTGCACTGATAACCGTATGTATAATTGTACAAAATGGATTGCTGAATATACTGGAATAAAAATGTCTCCCATAGGATCACATATTTGAACATTTGGTCTCCTCTACTAGTCAGCACAGTCTTGCTAGAGGAAGTAAGTTACTTGGGGTAGACTGAGAGCAAAGAACTTTACCCTGCTTAGTTTGCAGTCTTTGCTTTCTACGTGTGGTTGAATATGGATGTGACTCCTCAGTTTCTTCCTCTGGTGTCTGCTATCACGCCTTCCTCACCATTGTGGACTTCTAGAATTTTGAGTCAAAATAAACTCTTCTGTAAGTTGCCTTTGGTCATGACATTTTGTTTGATCAACAACAAAAACAAAATATTAACTGGAGAATCTAGTTAATTCTCTGTCTCAGAAAAACAACAAAAAATATTAACTAATTAGCTGGAGGTATGTCTTAAAGGATTTACCTTGCCCTAAGTACTTCCTGTCCTGTTTTTTTCTGCTTCCCAGGTACCAAGGCCCATAAAGAGGGTCCTGCCCCTCTTTACCCTCTGCAAGACACAATCTTGCAGCAAGCTCTGTGACCTTCTGGCTGTAGGGCAGTAAGATGGCTCAGCAGGTAAAGGCACTTGTTGCCTATCCTTAACACTAGACTTTCATCCCAAGACCTAAATGGTGGAAAGAGAGAGCTGATTCCTGCAAGTTGTCATCTGACTTTTATACATGAACCATGACATAGGGGGATTCACACACGTACATACAAACACGGACACGTACACCATAAAGACAGATACAGTAAAATAAAAATTAAGTGGTGTTATAAACAAAAGAAAAGAATTTAAAAATCTGAGTAACCTTGAATTAAAAAACTTCCTGTTCAATTAAAGAAACCAGTAAGTTACAGAAGAATAAATTATACAGTGAGAAATTTTATTTAAAGCCAATGAGCCATGAGTGACTCAAATACAGAATTTGAATACTACAAAACCATAAGAAAGAATAAACAGAAAAATTGATAATAATCATGAAATTCACAAAGGTAGAGAGCCAATACACATATGAATAAATCTTAAAATTATGATGTTATCAGAAAAATTCAAATTAAATCTACAACTAGATACCAATGGGTATAAGGTAAACCTATATATTACTATAAAACAAAGAATATCCCTATTCTTTAAGTAATGTTTATAATTGCAAAAATTAGTGCTCTAAACTGAATGTTCATGTGTACTAAAAATTAATATGGGAAAATGAGTAGTGTTTAGAAATAGACTATTAAGAAGTAATTAAGTACCTGATGATGATATCCTTACACAAAATGACATCAAAGAGTTTAATACCTCTCCCACAGCACACAAAAGAAAGAAAAGATGGTGGCCACATGTAAGACAAGAGAAGCGTCTCCAAAATAAAACCTACTACTTTAGGCCTTTTGATTTTACAATTCTCAGACTCCAGAACCCAGTCTTTCAGTCTATGGCATTTTGTAGTTAATGGTCTGAGTTGACAGACATTCAGCAAGTTCCAAAGCTATTACATATAGGAAATGCTGACAAGACCAAGAAAAAGAAGCACCCAGACTGTTTCTTCTTGCTGACAGTGAGCATGTGCATACGCCATGGCCAGTCATCACTTCCTTCAGGAATTAGATTCATGCTTGAATCCATTGAACCAACCAAACATCCACCAATTAACTTCATGAAAATTTTAAAAAGCTGTAAATAACATAAAATAATGTGTGAGAATGCAAACACATTCAATGCAGCTACATTCAGTAAGTAGCGTTGGTCAGTCTCATAATGAAGAGGGTGGATGCCAAAGCATCTCACATCATCTGAGTGCTTTATTCAGAACTGCAGATTTAGGGGATGAAACTTAAAAAAACAAACAAACAAAAAAATGCACTAATTTTTTTCAACTTAAGTGATTTTACACAAATATTGTTTTTATAATTTCTAAAGATTTTTTTAAATTGAGAAAATCACATACTGAGATTTTTAGCATTTCAAATGATGAAAGTAAGGTCTTGCAGGACGACTCAGTACGTGTGGTAGTTTGAAAGAAAATGATCCACATAAAAGAGTGGTCCTATTAGGAGGTGTGATTTCGTTGGAATAGAGGTGAGCTTTTTGGAGGCAGTGTGTCACTGTGTGGGTAGACTTTAGGGCTCCTATGCTTAAGCTCTGTGCGGGGTGGCATTCACCTTACTTCCTGTTACCTGCAGATCAGGATGTAGAACTCTCAACTCCTTCTGAAGCACCATGTATGACACCATGAAGGTAACAGACTAAGCCTCTGAAACTGTAGGCCAAATTGAATGAAATGTCTTCTTTATAAGAGTTGCCATGGTCATGGTGTCTCTTCACAGCAATAGAAGCCCTAATTAAGACAGTGTGTAGGAGCACTTTCTGTAGAGGCATGTGGACCAGATTTCTGGTATGTAAACTGTTTTCTGCCACCATCTCTTCTTTCAGTTAAAATGCCTGAGCCATGCTGAAAATAAAATTAAAAGGCAGAAAAATTAAAGAAAGTCCTTTTGAAATTGATTTTTGCAAGCCCTGCACTATGTATTTCAAGTCAATTGAGCTCAAAGAACAACTCATTTCTTTCTGAAGAGGACTGCTAGCACCAGAAGCAGAGACGCGAGGCTGGAGAGAGGTTGAGCATTTAACAGAAATCCCTGGAAGGATAATGACCCAACTTTAACTGCATGTCTGATTCAGAGGAAATGAGAGAAACATTTGCAGGTTCTTGTCATTCTGCATTCCCTGTAATTCTCTATACTTCTCAGACACCATTCAATACACCGCCTTTCATCCATGAATGGGTCAATGGCAGCTTCTGCTATTAGAAACCCAAAATATTAACTGAAACACAAACTGGCGCTTTCCTCAGCTGCAGTTTCCATAACAAAATACCACAGACTTTGTGACCTCAACAACAGAAAAACTCTCTTGTTTTTTAGGGGTTGTTGCGTCGAACATTAAAAGAATGAAGAGATTTGCTTTGTTCACAGGGATCCTGGCTTTCAGGTGACCTCCATTCTGCACGACATCTTTTTGCAGTCCCAGACTGAAGAAAGTGTCTCCTATTAAGAGAGAACAAATATGATCACCAGCAGCCTATCCTAATAAAGTTATTTGCTTTAAATTACTACCAAAAGCCCCAATCTCTGAGTACTTTCACGCTGGTGCCTAGAAATTCAATATGTAGAATTTGGTAAAGTATATAAAAACATTCAGTTTGTGAAGAATTACTATATGAGAACTGCCATTAATTGCATTTGATAGATTATATATTATATATATTGGAGATAAATTTTGAATTGTCTAGACTATTATAAAGAATAGAAACTTATGATATTGGTACTAGGAGCGGCTCTGATTGCAGAGAAAGAATATGTCAGGAAAATGTGGTTTTCTAGTTTCTAAAAATTATTTCAGCCCTTCGTCACAATTTATTTTTCCTTATGAAGGATTATACATACTAAACCAAGAGAAAGTTGTGATGGTAAGTTCCTGTGAGCAACTTTGCTAATAACCACTCTGCAGTGACACCTTCAGAAGTGGCATATGATGTTCTTCACAAACTTTTGTTTGGGGTACATATGTTCAGAGTAAGAATATATAGTATTTAGAATTACATTATTATAAAAGTCTCTTAATAAATTCATTATCAACCTGCTCATGAAACCTATTTTATTTATCTATTTTTTAAAGATAGAAGTTTGTATTTTATGTGTATTTTTTGATTTTTTAAAAGAAACAATTGAATGCCAAATTAAAGCATACTCATGAAAATTTAACATTATTCCCATATTAGTATCAGAAATGATAATCATTTCTGTTAGTATGCCTGAAAAGTAGTAACCATTTCCACCTGAAAAAACATAAATGTGTGTTTATATAAACATCTAAAGACATAGGTCTGTGGCTAAAATGCTTGCTGAGCAAGTGTGAGGACAGATTATATGAGCACCCACAAATAACAAGCGGGCATGGCAGTGGAATTTCAGTGTCCAAAAGACAAAGAAAAGAGATCTCTGGGACAAACTGGTTATCAGATTGCCAGATTAGGCATATTGATGATCTTTAGGTTCCATTAGGAGGTTCGACTTCAGTGAATGGAGATAGTGATTGTGAATGACACTTTGCACCAACCTCACACCTCCACACACAGATGCACATATATATGCCCACACAGTGTAAATGTACACACATGTATGCATACCACATAAAATTCAAATTATATATATATATATATAATTTATAACATATATTATGTCCTTGTAGGTAAGTAGCATCTTCAAGACCGTATAAAAGGCTGTACTACACATACAGACTAAAGTCTAACCCAAGAGAAATTTCATAATGGTGATGGAAACAAATTACTAATAGATAAAGAACAATAATAAAGATAGTAACAGATAGTAAGCAGGATAAAATAAAACCTTGTTACTAGAAAAGCACCTTCTATTTCCCTTTTCAAGAACATTTTATAATTTATGTCATAACCAGAAATGTTATATGACATAATTAGCAGTAATTAAATATTTAACATATTCATTTAAAACTGTAAGATGTTCCTAAAAGAATATGATGGAGAGTGAAGTATGTCCTAAGAATGAAGACAACACAAACTAGAGATTTCTCCAAACACATTTCCTTGATTTACAAGAGACCTGGATGTTCTGCTTTCTGCAATTGCTATTTGGTTTACTTCTTACCCCGTAGTCTCCAAAGCCTTTGTATTTCTGCACACTTAAGCTATTTGCCTGATAACTATAAAACATTCAATGTCTGGTTCACAGCACAGCTGTTTCAGTGCCTGGTATCCTTTATTTCAAGGTTTTGCAATTTACTTCCCATTTGAGGCATCATGCCTGAACTGCAGACCCACCAACTACATTGAGCATGCACATCACAGAGAGGCTATTTTCCTAGGAAAGCCTGGCTCCAAATGTTTATTTCTGTCTGGCATTACAAAAAAACCTTCCACAATGGCTACATATCCTTCCTACACAACTCAGCTCTTGTCTATGATTGATGCATAATAGATACTATTGTAGCTGCTTCAGATGTTCTTGTTTCTCTTTGTTAGCCTCTATCACACCATGGCTGGAACGACAATGAGAAAGCTGCAGCTTTAGAGGCGCTTTGATCTACTTCAGCATCAAGAGGCAGACACCAAAACAAAGAAATAGGATGAGCAGAGGTCTCAGAAAACCAGCCTTGTGTCTGCTCACTCCCCCGCAGAGGATGATACCACCATGGAGCTAAGTGTAGAATAAACATAGACAGACAAGTTCGTGTAAGGGAGTGTTCAGTGGTCAGTGTGCTGCTTTGAATCATATCAAAGCACTCAGTGTATGTATGGAAGTTGAAAATAGAGCAAAGTTGACGAAAATTAAAAGCACAGCTTTCTTTCATTGGCATTAAATGCTCTCATGGTCACTGAAAGGACAAGAGTAGTTTCTTTCTGTCTTTTGGATCCAAGGCATCATTAAAAATGAAGTTATCTTTGAAAGAACAAAATAGTAAGAACAAAGTAACAATATTTTTTTTCTCATTAAAACTAATACATAGAAATTTCTTTTTGCCAGGACCGCCTTAGCTCTTTACATTGTCTGTAGACGTTTGATGGTATGTTTGAAAGATGATACCCTGGGAGTGATTTAAAAATGCAAGTGTATTACTTTGCTGCCAGAATAAGTAGTGATAGGTGGGGGAATTCATCTTGCTGTTTTCTGCTTAAACTGAAGGACACCTAATCTTCCAGTCTGATGGAGCTTACATAGGGATGTAGAATGATATCCACACAACCCTTTAATATATTAATATTAGTTTGAGTTAGCATTTGTATCCTCAGAGAACTTACATCATGAAAAGATGAGTTAATTGTTTTGATAATTAACAATGTACATAAAAGTCTTGCATTTTGCAATGATATCAGATATTTTGTAATGGCAATAGATCTTCACTAATTTGTGAAAACTTTAAGAAAGAATAATAATACCCTTTAATCAAATTTTTTTACATATTTTAATCAATTATTATATTGTTTCAAGAGGTGTTTTTGAAGTCTAAAATGTGTATCATTCACCTTTTGCAACGTTCAATTGTTATTTCATCGGTGAAAACCTTAAAAGAGAATTTCTTTCCTTTTATGTGCTGTTTTATACTATTTTATAAATCTCTATAGTTTCAAAACTCTATACTACGTCACTGTTTTTCATTATACTTTAAAGCAATTCAAAATATATGTAAAAAATGTTTCCATGATTTTAGACCTTTCTTTATGTATTAGAGAGTTCCTAATTTCAGTTTTATACCAAAGCCCTCCCTCTGTCTGCAGGACCTCCCTAATAAACGTGCCTCTATAGGCAGGAGATTTTCAGGACTTCTGCTTGAGAGAGTCTTTATTTTATATATATTTTAAACAAATAACTCCACAAAGATACAACTCCAAGTTATTATGAGTTACAGAGTTTGTAGTGAGTTGGAAAGGAACATTATCTTTGCTCCTCGACTGGTCTAGGAGTATTGTCTTTGCTTCTCAACTGGTCTAGGAGTATTGTCTTTGCTTCTCAACTGGTCTAGGAGTATTTTCTTTGTTCCTCGACTGGTCTAGAAGTATTGTCTTTGCTACCTGACTGATCTAGGAGTATTGCCTTTGTTCCTCAACTGGTCTAGGAGTATTGTCTTTGTTCCTCAACTGGTCTAGGAGTATTATCTTTGTTCCTCAACGGGTCTAGGAGTATTATCTTTGCTACTTGACTGATCTAGGAATATTGTCTTTGTTCCTCGACTGGTCTAGGAGAATTGTCTTTGCTCCTCGACTGGTCTAGGAGTATTGTCTTTGCTACTTGACTGATCTAGGAGTATCATCTTTGCTACTCAACTGGTCTAGGAGTATTATCTTTGCTACTTGACTGGTCTAGGAGTATTGTCTTTGCTACTTGACAGGTCTAGGAGTATTGTCCTTGCTCCTCGACTGGTCTAGGAGTATTATCTTTGCTACTTGACTGGTCTAGGAGTATTGTCTTTGCTACTTGACTGGTCTAGGAGTATTATCTTTGCTCCTCAACGGGTCTAGGAGTATTGTCTTTGCTACTTGACTGATCTAGGAATATTGTCTTTGTTCCTCAACTGGTCTAGGAGTATCATCTTTGCTACTCGACTGGTTTAGGAGTATTGTCTTTGCTACTTGACTGGTCTAGGAGTATTGTCTTTGCTCCTCAACTGGTCTAGGAGTATTGTCTTTGCTCCTCGACTGGTCTGGGAGTATTATCTTTGCTAGTTGACTAGTCTAGGAGTATTGTCTTTGCTACTTGACTGGTCTAGGAGTATCATCTTTGCTACTCGACTGGTCTAGGAATATTATCTTTGCTAGTTGACTGGTCTAGGAGTATTGCCTTTGCTCCTCGACTGCTCTAACTTCAGGTGTGCTTATCCCCTCTCTCTGCTCACAGACAATGCTCGCGTCTTCCTCTCTGCAGAAATACCCAGTCTGATTAAACTGCTAGATCTCACACCCCTTCTACAAAGATACTCATGTGGCTGACAATTCAATGTCTTGGTCAATTGATAGGAAAGTTTTTGGGGTTCTTCTCATGACAGACTTATTCTCCTTGCTCTTGTGTTTGATAATTTGCTGTTGTCGGTGGTGAATAATGATATCATGTAAGAAAAAAAACTGGCATTAATGATATTTATAATCAAAAATGGATCTTTACTGTTGCCATGATTTCAACATGTGGGATTAAGATATTGATACCAGCACAGAAAGCAGTACTAAGGCACCATTTAAAAAAGAAAAAAAGAGTAACACTCAATCTTGACTGTTGAGTGAAGAAGAATCAGTTTTCTTCAGGAATAGGCACCCTTAATATGCTATGGGATCCCAAATTTGATCAACCCTAAACACATGTCCACATAAGTACACGAAATGAGCTCACTAGGTTTGTGTGTGTGTGTGTGTGTGTGTGTGTGTGTGTGTGTGTGTCTATCAATAATAGTCAAGAAGAGGTGAGAACTTCAAGCAGAAGGAGGAAGGAGCTCTGGAAGTGGAGGGGGTTAAAATTACTTA